CCAGTCAAATTTTAGTGACTTTATTCTTCCTGTTTCTTTAGTTTAATAATAGTCAGTCTGTCTTGTGGTTTTGGTCSACCTGGGAAACAGCCCAGTTTTGTATCTTATCCAAGCTGCGMACWTCCCTTGGCAGAGCACAGGAGACSTTCCAGGCAATTGAAGCAAGTATAAATCAGTGTGCAAAAGAAGCGAAGGCAGCTGACTTGGATGATCAAGCTAAACCTAGAAACAAAGATGACATTAAAACTGATGAAGAAAGYGATTTGACAGGTATAAAAGGTTTGCACCCAGGGGTCATGTGACTATGTGCCTACCTTGAATCAATCAACTAAAAAGAGACGGCTAGAATTAGTAACCAGACATGCAATCCTAGACTTTTTGTGTGGGACATTGCAACATGTTACCGTAACAAAGTTACAATTTGACAACACGACACCCACTCGGTAGAATATTCTGTACAAGGATGTGTGGCTATTTTCATTTTTTTTTTTTTCGTGCTCCAGTACAATGACATTGTATGTATCAACAACATTGAACCTGAGGAGGGGGAGGGAGTGTAGGCTTATGTTGTCAATAGAAAACTAACAAGATGTGTTAAATCGTGTCTAAATTTATATTGAACATGATTGTAGATTCAAGTCTCAACATTAAATACTTTTTTTTACCTACTTGATGTCCTTACATTGTAGCTGAAACTTTGGCATTTTATATTTATCAACATGCTCTTTCTATTTTTTTAAATATAATTAAAGGTAGATGTGGTCACCTTGGGATACAGCAGGTCAATCCCTGCTGATTGTTATGAATTGTTTGAATTGAAGAATTGGTATCCATGTACATATTTAAGAATTATTCCTCTTCTAGCAACTCTACCCAAAACATTTGTGAGTCAGATGAGGACTGTTGTGCTACTTCATTTTGTTGAGAACCTTGAGAAACTGATGTACAATGCACATGATGGCTGTACTGTTGGCCTTCCATCACCTCCCAAGGTATACCTTAACATGGTTTAATGGTCCACATATTTCAATAGTATTTAGTTTGCTGTTGTTGTTCCTTTTATTTCCATTTAGTTGTTTAATTAATTCCTTTTGTTCTTTTGATCAATCATTTTAAAAATTGTGTYCATTTTTTCAAGCAAAATAYTCCCCATATGACCCATTCACAAAGCTTTTACTGCATGAATCAGAGACTAGACAKTATAGAGCAATAGTTATTAAAACATGTTCTGAATGGTTTACACTACATGTTCTAGTCTACTAGAGACAAGAATGATAATAAGCTGAAATGATTTTTGAAGTGTTTTTCCTCAGTCTCCCATCTCATTCCAAATTGTAATTCTAAATTTKKAATAGCCGCTTTGCAAATTTCACCCCAGTAGTCAMAAACAAAASAATCAAGACAAGTCGCCATGCATAAAGCTCATTCGTGAAAAACTATTGTCTCTTCACKAATGACTGAGYRTTATGCACAGCRCCTCATTTTGATTCCTTTGGTATGACTACTGARGCTAAATTCGCAAGTCTGCTATTGATTGCTTGGTATTGAAAGTTCATTTCTTTTKTTTCCAGTCAGTGCGTGTGTTCTTCAGGACTAACCGTAATACCTGYCAGGAATGGTTAACYAGGATAAGAGTGCCAGTCATGGAAGTGAGCCTGAGATGTGGTATACCAGCACTAGCTGTCTGGCATGGTATGCAGGTACTTCAGGAGATGAAAACGGCAGGAAAACTTAAGGTATTCCAGGTATTCCAAGAAAAAACACCCTTGTTTACCATATAATCATGCTTTCTTGTTGCCATTTTCCAGGGTCCAGAGTTTGAGCAAACAGTCCTCCTGATGTGTCAAGCTCTATGTGCAGTTAGAAGTCCTCAGGCCATTGAAGGCGTTAAAGCTTGGTGTGCCAAACATGCTAACCAAGAGCTGGCATGGGTTGATGGTCTTATGATGAAAGCAAAAGGATGGTAATGAAAAAATGTTACTATGGGGAGAGGGGTGGGGATGATTGTGTGTGCGTGTGGGGGAGAGGGGGGGTTAGGGGAGATGGACTGAGAGGGTTAGGGTAGAGACAGAAGATTTGATATAATATTAACCATACATGCATTTATATTCTAAGGTATGAAAGATCTATAGAGGAGTATAAAAAGGCTCTCAAGAAATCCCTTCCTATTCCTAATGGCCAGTCAGTAAAAGATGACAAATTCACTCCAACCACTGAACTCTCATCTGTAGCTGTTCAGTTTCTTGTCAATGAGGTGAGAGGCAAGATACAGTGTTTAATTTAATTTTTTTTTTTTTCGGTCTGCTATCCTAGTCATTTGCATGCTGCGATTGGCTGTAGCGCGCGGTCTGCCCAGTACACAGTATCCTGCAGCTAGTCTATGGGCAAAGTTGCATAAAATACATGTACAAATGAAAAAAATAAAAATGTTATTTACTGGCTATAGGTTGTCTGTATAGGAAAACACTGCCCTCGTTCCGTACTGTCAAAACCTCGTGCAGTGTTTTCCTATACGGACCTCCCAGCCAGTAAATAACATTTGTAAATTATGGATGATAGATTTTTTCCTAAGCAAAAAATGTTTGTTTCAGGTGTCAGACTGTTATGTCAAGCTGGCTGACTGGAATGAAGTTGAAAAATGGCAGAAAGAAGTGTCAAGTGCCAGGAAACTTGTCCAGGAAACAGATATCCAACATGCCTTGCACTTGAATGTTGATATAAACTATATCAGGTGAAGAATTAATTATTGATGATTGTTGATATCAGTAATAATTTATTGATGATATGATGGTGATTATATCACAACGAAATTTTTGACTTACTATATTCATATTCAAATATCATTTTTCTTAGGGCTTTGAGTAGGTTTGAAGAAAATAACTTTGAAGCAACCCAAGACCATCTCAGACTAATTCCAGGAAACAGCCTGAATGCCATGGCAGACAATCTGAAGAAATGTAGCTGGTCCATCCTACCTAAACAAACAGAGGTGACATTCACCCCCCTTTGGGACCTTGAAAAGATCCACATGGCTACAGATCTTTGTTTAGTCCAAGCTGGTGTAATGTATGCCTTGTCAGGGGGGTCTGGCAGCAAGAATAGCATCAGAGATGGAAAAGTTATGTAAGTTGATTGATGTTTGAAATGGCGATCAATCACTCTATCAAGTTATATGGAATGCATATCATAAAAGCAACCAGACAAATTTTTACCTAGTTTTTCCTTTGAGTTAATGTATTCTTATGTTAATACGTCACCAGACAAGCTGTTAAAGATTGTATAAAGCAGTCTTCATCATTATCAAGTGGAGCTCTGCGTGTAGGTTGTCTGGATTGGCCACCACTTGTCTCACCTGAAATCATTCTACAAGTACAGCAAGCTGCAGTTATGGATGCCACAATTGATGCCTTTACTAAGGTAACTAAAGTACCATAGTGTAGCAAAAATATTCTTAATTTGTAATTGTTAGAATTATAATCTTAAAAAGAATCAGACCAAAACGCTGTTTAAACACCCCATGCCACTATGCTACATGTAACTAAAATGCTTGGTCCATAAAAAAACTTGGTCCATAACTTCCCATATGGCCCTTGCTCTCAGTTAATAAGATATTAATATAGAAAGGTTTTTCATTGTTAAGTAAGTAAGGGTTTCTATTTCACAGGGTGATTTCTTGCCATCAGTCATTCAAGGAGATGGTTCATTTACTGCTGATTCCAGTCGACATAACTGTGCCATACTCAACCAAGCTTTGCTATTTACAAACCATATCTCACAGCTGTCTTCATTGGTTGGTAAACCAAGAGGTTCACTCACTAGTGAGCTGTCAGTATTACAACTAGAAACTGCAAAACTTGCCAGGAAACATGAGAACTTTTCCCTCGCTCAAAAACTGCTAACAAAACAACTAGTCAAACTAGGCGTGGTCGTGGTACCTGAGTCAGAACCTAACGGCCAGAACAACATGATAGGTTCACTTGTACGAGGTTTAACAAGTGTTTCAAATGTTAAAGGATCATTACGCTTAGAGCTACTTAAAGCACAGAGGGAAAGTGCTAAGCTGGCTCACACTTTAGGCCATACTCAAGATGCTGTCGGTATACTATCAAGTAGTGTGCTTGAATTCACTAAAGTTAGCGAATCAGATGAAAATGTAAGGGATTTGAATTCAAGATCACTGGTGACTTTATCCAAGTGGCTTATGAATGATAGGAAACTGTTAATGTCGGCTACTAGGACTAGTAGTAATGTCACACCACTAGTAGCAAAGATCAGCTCTTTATGTGACAGTGAAGAGGAGTTCTTGGGTTATGGACGAAGCATGTTGATCAGTGAGTGGAAATGTTAACAATTTGATGTATTCATCTCATTATAGATATTATAAAACTTATTAATAATGCATAAGCTATTGCTCCAATAAGGGCTGACCATTTAATCAGGTGATTGACCTTGTAAATCTGATACAACCACTAGTGTTGTATCAGATTTACAACACGGTCGTCACCATTGAGACAACCCAACACTAGCAAAGGTCTCAGTTTTAGTGTCGCATCATAGACCTTCACTAGGTTTTGAAGCAATCAAAGACGGATAACAGAACTCGCTTATGCAACAGATGGCTTGCTTTCCATGTGGGATGGATAATTATTCAAAATGTTCTGTGTTGCAGTAAATTGCGCATGCTTAATAGGGACTAAACTCAGCAGTTACCTTATTTGTCATTTTTCGTCATTTATCTCACTGTAATTCATGTTAATTTGTGTTGGAGTTTTATAAGTCGTTTACAACATTCGCGTCCGTGTTGTATGGGAATTACAATCTCTCGCCTGCGGCTCGAGATTGTAATTCCCATACAACACGGCCGCTCATGTTGTAAACTATAC